GTGTAATATTTCTACAAAAATATGTGCTGTTTTTAAAATTTGTAGATCTAATCCCCCCCACCTGGAGTCCATTTCTGACTGAACTGGTTTGCGTCTGTGTTTGGAGCTCATCACTTCATAAAGATGGATTTCCAGCATCGAGCTGGAGGAAAGACTGGGAGCGGAGGGGTGGCATCTGCCTCTGAGAGTAACCGGGACAGACGTGAACGGTTACGGCAGCTGGCCCTCGAGACCATTGACATCAACAAAGACCCTTACTTTATGAAGAATCATTTAGGTTCCTATGAGTGCAAACTATGTCTGACACTCCACAACAATGAGGTGAGGAGGCACACAATTACAGTGATTAGTTTGTGTTTGAACTGTGATTATGACATTATTTGGACATCTTACAAGTTGTCTTCCTTTTTATTTTTATTACAGGGTAGCTACTTGGCTCACACACAGGGAAAGAAGCATCAGACTAACTTGTAAGTCCAATTCATTATATATTGGTTTTTTAAATCACTTTAATTACTTTTAATAAAACGTGTCCTTATTTATTTATTTATTTTTTTCATTGCATTGTTTACTGCTTCCTCTCCACCATTCTGGTGCAACTGAGCCACAACATGGGCTTGTGAGTCAAAATACAGGCTTAAATCTGATAAACATTTATATTTTGTGTTGCAGAGCACGGAGAGCAGCCAAAGAGGCAAAAGAATCTCCAGCTCAACCAGCTCCAGCTAAAGTAAAAGTTGAAGTCAAGAAGTTTGTTAAAATTGGTCGACCCGGCTACAAAGGTATGTATAAAAATCAGTTATTTGGTTTACAGTAATTGTAATAAATGTTAACTTTATATGATTTTATTTCTCTTTTCTCAGTGACAAAACAGAGGGACCCAGAGAACGTCCAGCAGTCTTTACTTTTTCAGGTTAGGACTTAAAAAAAAAAAACTTGCTCATAAACTAAATTATTGTAGTTCAGAAATAAACTGTAATTTGGCAGCTGTAGAAGGTTGACATGTGGAGGCTCTCAAACTGCTGCCTTGTTCACGGCTCCGTGTACATTTCAGTTCTCTGCGTATGATCAGAACAGACAAGCCTGTGAATCAGAGAACAGCTGGTGTTTCGTGTTTGGATGTTTATTACACTGTCTGAGACAAACCAAAGCTAAATGCCACAGCATGTTTAGCTTCACTTGTGTTTTTTTCCTCTGAAAGTTGTCAGCTTTGCTCATTGTTCAAATAAATATGATGATGCAACATCATGCTCCATCTTAGAATGATCCTGACCACAACAGTAGTCACATGTTAATTTCAAACAGTGACATCTGCCTCAGTTTGTTTTTCTTTGTTCTGCTGATCAGATCGACTATCCAGAGATTGCAGAAGGCATTGGACCCAGACATCGTTTTATGTCTGCATATGAACAGCGTATTGAGCCCCCCGATCGTCGTTGGCAGTACCTGCTGTTTGCTGCTGAACCCTATGAAACGATTGCCTTTAAGGTTGTTCAATTCTGCTCTTCTTTTATGTCATCATTATGCTTCTCTCTCACAGTTTTATAATATTAGGATGTTTGCTTTTTAGGTTCCCAGTAGGGAAATTGATAAAGCAGAAAATCGCTTCTGGACCCACTGGAACAAAGAAACTAAACAGGTATGAACAGGTACTTGATCTTCACAAAGGTATTTTGCATCTGAGCACGTGTGTTTTAACACTTTTGCTTTATTCTGCCCAGTTTTTCCTGCAGTTCCACTTTAAAATGGAGAAAGCGATTTCCCAGTCCACCGGTCCATTACCTCCACCTAATATGAAGCACCCACTTCCTCACTTGAGTGGAGTTCACCCACAAGACTCTTTGCCGCCCCCGCCGCCAGGAGGGATGTCTGTTCCTCTGCCACCTGGGGCTCCAGGTGCCCCTCAAATGCCCCCTCAAATGCACATGCCCCCCATGCCGATGAGGCCGCCTCCTCCAGAGGGCCTTGCAATGTCTAATAATTGATCTGTTAGTCATTCATAATTACTTCATGCTGTTCAGTCGTCCTCTGTTCCTGTCCACTGTGTCCATCATGTTTAATGTTGCAGGAGTATTACTTGGTTTTTCATGCATTTGTTAAGTGAAGAGTAAATGTTTAGGGCCAACTTATGACCGTGCGCTTGTTTATATCTGGACACAGTAATGAACAGCTTATTTTTAAGACTTTTCTCAATAAATAACCATCAAAAAACTGAAAAAAGAACCTGCGTCTGTGCTTTTGTTAAATTAAAAAAAACTGAAATATCAGCTGTTCCTGAGCTGTTTAAACTCTACTGTAAGAGAGTAAAATAAGCAATTGATGATGGGACAGGTGAGCACACAGCTTTGACACTTGGGTGGTGAGTGCGTCGATGTCACCAGGTATAACTGATGGGCTTACTGGCGTTTTGGCTTCGTATGGACGAGGAAGCTGGGTGCGCCTGGGCTCGTCATGTTTTCTGTTGATCGTGTTATATGGTGCCGTAGCGAGATCTGCCAAGCATTCATCAATTGTTTGGACCTGGTCAGTCTGTGTCTCGGTCTCTGTAATGTGTAAAGTATGGGAATTTGAAACTGAATAAACCGATCTTTGAACAAAGAAGTGACCTGGAGTCAGTTTGGAAACACGTGTCGGACAGATAGAAATTCCCAGAGTTTAACCCAGTGCGGCCCTCAGCACCATAAGTTTGCTGCATAAATATCCACTGATTGAGACAAAAGCTTGAATCTGCTGAGGGGAGAAACTAAACTGAGCTGTCTGAAGCATTTTTAAAACAAACTGGACTAATGATGGAGAACCTTCAGTACTGATCTAGTTCCAGATTTGAGCTTAATATTTAACATTTATTCAAGCTGAAGTAAGCATTTATTAGATCACAATCAAAATACGTGACAGTTTTATTTTGGTATACCGCACAGCTGTAACATGATAATTATTACAGTAACATTGAAACAAGGTTCTTTACATGAAATATTTCAGAAACGAAATAGAATCCGTGCTTCAGTCGTCATTTAGTTATTTCCTCTTCTTGGCTTTCAGAATCGTATTTTTCTTGCCAGCTGTGTTCTCGTCTCTCATCCTCTTCATCAGCTGCCTCCTCGTGTTCTTCCATTTTCTCTTTCTTGTCTTTGATTTTGTTGTCCCTGGCTTTCTTGGCTCTCCTGTCCTTTAATTTCCCATCTCTTTGCTTTAAGAGTTTTTTGTCTGGCAGGGACCTGTGTCTGAGGCCTCTTGATACTCGTGCTGTTCCTCCAGTCTTTGATTTTCTTCTTTTGATCTCTGCATCGTCCTCCTCTTCCTCATCATCGTCGAGGTCAGGCAGCCACCAAAACATCACTTCCCACAGAGATGTTTCTGGCTTCAGAGGGGTCAACAGTAACAGCTGTTTATTTTATAACTGTATTATTTTTATCAGTTTAAATGATGCTGGTTTACCTCTGGATGTTGTCCTCTGTGGCGTATCATTCCTGATCGTCTCGTGGTCAGTCCAGCTTCTTCATCTGCTGTTCCCCGACTGCGAAAAGTTTCTGTGGGGTTTTAATTTTTATTTAAATGAGACCACTTAGCCACATCAGACATGTCATTTAGAGATCTCCTGTTTGAGGACTAGTTTACTTGCCATGGAGTCTCTGGAAGCCTGAGGTGAGCACCAGGATGGTGATGGCCACAAGCAGACAACGGTTGAGAGTCACGTTCTCCCATGGCGTTTCTATCTGAGTCAGGCTCTGGATGGACAAGGATTTCTGCAAGGATGCTGAAGGGAAGATAAAACATAAAGCTTGTTAGAACTAAAGCTTTTTGTTCAAACTTGAAAAAGGCAGAATTAAGGATGAAAATTGCTCACTAGGTTTGGAGAAGCTGGGTTCCTTGAGGAACATCTTGGGTTCTGATTTTGGTTGCTGTGGAACAGGAGCCACTTCCTGTTTGGCAGGAAATATGTTGTCCTATTAGTTCTACCAATTAATAATTTAAGTGTGATTAATGCATTTTGGTTGATTGTGCTTGTTTTGTTACTAACTTCTCTGAATTTTCTTGAAGTGTACATTTCTGAAACAGGGAAAAAAATGAAGGATGATATAAAACAAACAAACAAACAAAAAAAGCCACAAAACATAAAAGTAAATAAAAGAACACTATAAAAATCACACTAGATTGTAAACATCAAAGTTCATGGTCAATAATCCAGGTAAAAAATTCCAACAAAGTTAAGTCAGGTCCTCCAGACAGTTTCTTTATTTTTTTACATTTCCTTCTTTATCCAAAGGACTTCATCAGTCTGAGGAGCCACAACAAACTCATTCCCACAGGCAGCACACTCACAGAGTGGACCAACCAGTGCTGGTGATAAGAAAAGATTTTGATGTTTTGAACCACTTTGGCTATGGCTTCCTCAGAGGAGTTGACAGGGGAGAGGGTGGGCCCCAGAAACCATCTTATCACCAGCAAACCTGGTTGGTCCACTATGCGAGTGTGCTGCCTGTGGGACTAAGTTTGCTGTGGCTCCTCGAACTGATGAAGTTCTTTGGATGAAGAACGAAACGGTTCAACAACAAAAAAGAAAAAAGAAACCATCCAGATGACCTGACTTAACTTTGTTGGACTAGGTTGTAAACTTCCACAATATAAATATGTGATTGGCAGCTTATTTAAACATTTGATTTTATAATATGGTGTGACTCTAAAATATGAAAAAGTAATATTTAGACTAATGCAGGTCATAAACGCCTTCTGTGTGGAGAGGTTTGAGTCAAAACACAAAAAGTTAGTTGCATTGTTTTTAATTAATCGTTTTGACTCAAAAATGTCTGCAGCAAAACTGTTCCCCACAACTACTTCTTTTGACCAAGAGCTAGTTTTCAGCAGCTCCTTGTGCTCCATCATTTCTGAGGTTTACCATGTTATATAATGCAAAGTGTATGAAGGACAGATTCAGAGTCGATGTGTTTGGATGTACCACCACCTGGTCTGCGGATCTGTCGAACAGGTTTCTGCGGAGGAGCGTCTGCTCTTGGTGGCCACAACTCCTCCTCAAATGTCTCATATCTCTCTTCCATGTCTCCTCTGAGAAACAGAGAAGGAGGAAGATGGAAGCAGCTCAAAGTTTGTCTACTTTTTTTCCTTTTTATGCATATTTAAGTTACATAAGACTAAAATCCAGTGGACAATTTATCATATGACTTGTGTCTGTTTAGTTGTAATGTCTGAAAACAAGAGGATTCAGTGGAGCACAATGACCTTACGGTTGTTTTAGTATTCTCTATATTAGTTACCATAAAAATTACATTAGTGTATTATTCCCCCCTCAGCATTTAGTTTAGATGTGCAGAATGATAAAGGCATAAATATTTAAAATCTCCACTTTGTGAAGGAAATTGAAGGTGTTTTGGTCCTCATAATGCTGAGAGACCTTTATGTCTTACATGACATTTCTACATGGACACTGAGCTAATGTCCTTGTCACCCTATAAATAGAAGGAGCAAAGCCACCAAAACAACAGATGAATACATACAATTGAAATACGCACACACACAAAATAGATCTGATAAAATTTTAAATACATATAGCACATTTATTTTAGACCCTGATAATTAAAAGGACCTACCTGCCCAGACATTCAGGCTGCATTGGGGAACCTTTGTCAATGAGCTGTTGTTCCTCCACAGAGATGGCAGCACAGTCAGCTGTCTGATGGTCTGGGACAGGTGCTGCAGAATGATTAAAAAAAAAAAAAAGCCATTGTGCGGTATTAACTGAGGCTAGCCTGACATCGGCATGTCTACTGTAGCTGTTAGATATCAGACTGTAAAGATAGAAAACAAAATACACAAAATTAGTTTGGGAAATTGAGCAATTTTTTTTTTGTTATGTAATGCATGCATCAGTAAAATTTAAAGTTGCTTTTGTATTGTTCTTAATATAACGGTGATCATAAATTTGCAATATTTTGTTTCACTGTAAAAATGTGCCACAAGTTTTCATTAAATGTTTTTAATGGTTTCATGTCACTTTGTTGGGAAGTCATGCGAATATGTGACCAGCAGAGGGCGCTGCAGTTCTTGGTGAAAAGGAGAATGAGGTCACTTTAATTTACTGACGATCTTCTCGAAAAGCTGCCAGAAACCGTCTGATTACAACATGACCATGACATACATTACAGGGCACACCAGATTCTTGTAACTGCATTAAAGAGTTATCAATGTTACATTTCTGTAGAGGTTTTGAAGAATCTTCCTTCATTTTCACTTGTTGATTAAATGAGTGGAGGCTGTTATTTGGTAGGTTTTTGAAGGCCACAGGGAAAACGTGTGCAGCAAAGAGGAGGCTACCCAGATGTAACAGTGACTTGGTTATGTTGGAGTTAGGCGGGCGCACCTTCATGTGGAGAGTAGAGCAAATGTTGGTAAACAGGCTTGTGTTGATGCTGGTGAGTCATGCATCTGCTGGTGCCCACTTACAGCTGAATCACACATTGCTTAATCTATCACAAGTGGACTGCAGCTCTGCAACCTTTGATGTGAGTAGACTGGGGGTTGAGGAATACCCAGACCTGTGACATACAGCATAATGTGCCAAACTGGACACAGCTGACCTACAACATGTCTGCTGTCTGACTCTCTGAGAGCAGCTGATCTGTGTTGTCATTAATATTGGTAATCATCTATATCTATTTGTTAGCATCACCCGGTGGATGGATTTTAATAAAAGTTTCAGAAAGTAATTTACCATAAGTTGACAGGTAAAACCGATTACTTTTTGTACCCACTTCAATTCTGATAACAACTGATCTACTTTAGCCTACAGAAGATGAGCTCCACCTTGGTGACTTTTACAAAAAAATCAATTCAGTTTATTTATGTAGCACCATGTAACAACAGAAGTTGTCCCAGGGCACTGTACAAAACATTCACAAACATTAAAAAAGCCAGTTAGTAAAGTTCTCTATCTAAGGAAGCTAGCAGACTGCATTGAATCGTCATTACAGTCTCCCATCCTCAGCAAGTACAAAGGCAACAGTGGAAAGGAAAAACTCCCTTTTAACAGAAGGAAACGTCCAGCAGAACCAGACTAAGGATGAGCGGCCATTTGCTTCAACCGGCTGAGTTTGACAGGACAGGAAGGAGGAATGGACACAGAATGGCAGGTCCAGGTGTACTTTCTATTGGAGGAAAGACAAAAAACATGTTAATATAGAAATAATTACAAATACAAACATAGTAGAGCAAGTAAAGACAGCAGCGTGATGAAATGAGGTAAATTTGTCCTCCCTCAGTCTAAGCCTATAGAAGCATATTTAAGGGATAGCTCAGGAAATCCAAGCCAACCTTAACTATAGGATTTACAATAAAGGAAAGACTTAAGCCTAATCTTAAAAGTAAACAATGTGTCAGTCTTACGGACAGAAACTGGAAGTAGTTTCCACAAGAGACAGAGCCAGAAGGCCCTGCCTCTCATTCTACTTTTGGAAACTCTAGGAACCACAAGTAAACCTGCAGTCTGAGAACGAAGTGCTCTGTTAGGAAAGTATGGAACAATAAGATCAGTAATATAAGATGGAGCTAGGTTGTTGAGAGCTTTGTAGGTTAGAAGTAAGAAATGAATTCTATTCTGAATTTAACAGGGAGCCAATAGAGAGAAGCGAAAACTGGAGAGATATGATCTCTCCTACTAACTCTCATTAAGACTCTGGCAGCAGCATTTTGGATCAACTGAAGACTTTTTAAAGAAGTTTTTGGACACCCAGATAACAAACCATTACAATAGTCCAGTCTAGACGTGACAAATGCATGAACCAGTTTTTCTGCATCATTTTTAGATAAGATGTTTCTAATTTTAGTGATATTGCACAGGTAGAGGAAAACAGTCCTGGTAACTTTTTTAATGTGGAGGTTAAAAGACATGTCCTGATCAAAAACAATACCAAGATTTTTAACATTAAAACTGGAGGCCAAATTAATGCCATCCAGAGAACGTGAGACTGCAAACTTTATTCCTTAGAGGCTCAGGTCCCAAAACCACAACCTCTGTCTTGTTTGAGTTTAAAAGCAGAAAATGTAGGGTCATCCAGGTTTTTATGTTTTCAAGACATGCTTTTAGTCTGATTGGATTCATCGAGTTTCATGGATAAATATAACTGAGTATCATCAGCATAACAATGAAATGCACCCCATTCACAACACATTTTCCAAGTGCTAGCATCTCATGAGATATTGCATGACTTTGCTCATAATGCTCTTTTCAAGGTTTGATTAAAACAGTTATCACTTTGTCATTTCTCTAGACAAGATGATCTTAATTTAACACTCTGACATGAAAGGCCACAGACAAGAAACTTTCCTACATGGAATTCTATTCCTTTTAATAATTATATGAATTTTGTTTTTGAGGCTTCAAGTTTTTTTGACAAGTTCCTACTAGAATTTAAATTCCTGTGGTGTCAAACTTATACCACTTTCTTTAAACACAGTAAGACTTCAACCAAGTCCAAACAGAAATTAATCTGTCTAGTGTGTTCTTTTATGGTACAAACTACAAACCTTGTATGTGTGCTGTACTTTCTCGGCACACTGAGACCCATAGACCAACAGAGGCTCTGTGTCTTCTTTAAGTCTTAGTTTAGCTTATAATGAGCTCTTTTGCACATTTAATTGGCCAATGCAGTCTTGTCCCACTCATTTGTCTGCACTTATTATTCCCACGTTGGAACTCATCTTCTTTGGGAGCATTTCTTCAATTAAAACTGACAGAAAACCACACACAGTGCAATAATCCTGCGTTTATGTGAACTTTAGTTTAGTCTCCATTATATTGGCAGCATGTTTGAAGATAAAATCAAGTTAAACTTTTGCTTTTGACATTCTGAAGAATGTTCCAAGGTCAACTGAAGGTCTGATGTAAAAAAAAAAAAAAAAAAGAGTGAGCAATAACTGCTCATGGCAAAAATCTCTGTTCTAGATTTGGACACTAGAGAGATATGAACTCATAAAGAGTTCTGTTCCATTTTGTGTCCTCTTGTCCCATAATGAAGGCCAGTTTGAGTGTCCAGGTCAGGACCACTGGGGGAGCTGCTGCAGTGTAATATAAGCATGAAGTAAGGTGTAATAGACTAGAAACAAAGCAATATTAATGCCTTTAAATTGTCTTAAATTGTGGTTGTAAGTTAATGAGACTAAATGTATAGAGACAACCTGTGTTTAGGGAGCTGATATTACTGATACTCGTTATCTGAAAGATTATGAGAGAGAAAATATAAATAAATGAAAATGAAAAATCCAAGCCCAATCAACAACTCAATGTCGGAGCTGATATAAATCTGAAAATATGGTCACCTTGCATTTCTAAAGTCCACCTCTTTTTAAAATAATCTCTGTTATACCATCCATCCATCCATCCATCCATCCATCCATCCATCCATCCATC